TCGAGTCCCACATCGGGCTCTCTGCTCCGCGGGAAGCCTGCTTCTCCCTCTCCCACTCCCCCTGCTTGTGTTCCTGCTCTCACTATGTCTCTCTCTGTCAAATAAATAAATAAAATCTTTAAAAAAAATAAATAAAAATAAAATCCTTCGCCCTCAGAACTTCCTTAAAGGACAAAACAAAACTGTGTGCCTGTGCCCATCAGAGGGCAGCAGCCACCCACACTGCGGAGCGGTTCTGCGCCCCTAGGGGAGAACAATGCTGCTGACCCTTTCTACACTTCCGGAGTTTCAGACCTGCTCCCCCATCTCAGTCTCCCAGCCTCAACCTCAGCCCCGCCGGTCCTATCCATTCACATCAGGGAGACCACGTGGTGCTCAGTCAGGAATATTTGCTCATCCATCTACCCAGGACACACGCAGCGTTCTTTATTAAATAGCAGGAGTTGTGGTGCCCCGCACCACATCAGCAACGTGGCTTCCAGGGGAAATAAACTGTTGGCTTCTCCCTCATCCATCACTGTGCAGGAGCCTGGGAAGGAAGAAAGAGAGGCCTGGGCTGTGCTCTCTCTCCCAGCCAGCCTCTCCCGGGTCCCATCCCTCTGGCTCCGTTCCCCCTTGCAAGCCAAACCTTATTATACCACTCACTTCTCGTGCTGAGTCCTTCTCACAGCTGCAGTTAGTGCTATTGTAATTATTTATATGATTCATTTTGTTTTCTAAGATTTTATTTTTAAGTAATCTCTACACCCAACGTGGGTCTCCAACTTACAACCTCAAGATCAAGAGTTGCATGCTCTACGGACTGAGCCAGCCAGGTGTCCTATGTGATTAGTTCTTTAATGTCTGCGTTCCCCCCAAAGACCTTCAACTTCATAAGTTCAGGGCTGGTGTCCACCTCGTTCAACTCTCTCTCCTCATCACTTAGCATATTGTGAGCATTCAATAAAATGTTTTAAAGAGATTGAATGAAGGAAGGAATGAATGAGTTTGTCTCTCAGTCCCTGCAGTACTAAGAACTGGACCTGAAGGGTGTGTGCATTAGGATCTACCTGGGCTCCTCTGGGAAACCTGCTTTGGGTAAGGGCTGAGGCATGGGACAAAAGGGAAAGGTTGTCTCACCAAAGTCTTGGCCTTTTTATAAAGTCAAAGGGCTGAGGTAATTCTTGCTAAGGAAAACCAAAGAAGTGTTGGAGCTGGTGAACACTGAGCTATATTCCTCCTTCCCGTCCCCATCTCATCAGCCCCATTCACAGCTTCCAGACAGAAAAGGAGTTTGTGTATGTGTGTGCGTGTGAGGGACAGACAGACAGACTGACAGACTGACTTGGGATATGCAGGGCTTGGACGGCTCTGTTGGAGCCTGTGTGCATGAACCTTGGTGGGGAGAGTGGAAGAGCCGGCTGGCAAGCATTAGGGCGGGGAAGAGGTCGCCAAGAGAAGTTGGGCGTGAGCAGAGGCAGATGGAAGGCTTGGTGGGGAAGAAAAAGAGCCATTTTTCCGAGCAGCCAGCAAGCACCCCTTCCATGATACAAAGCAGCTCCAATGCTGGGTCTGCTACAGCCACCACACCACCAGTGAGAAATGCCTATAATTAGGAGGCTGGCAGTTCCCTGGGCCTCAGCCCAGAGTGACGATGCAGCAAGAATTTCTGAGCCAAGTGGAGCCAGGTGATGGAGGAGACAGAGTCAAAAACCACTCTAGTTCCATTCCTCAGTGGTGCCTGTCTCATTGAGTTCCCTACTATGACCCTCACTTGCCCCAAACATCACTGACTCTTCCTCCTTCTGAGGTCCAAGACCCTGGGCACTCCTCTCAGGCAAGACAGATCTTCCCGTGCAAGGAGAGCAGTGCTTTAATTCTTCCACTAGTGCATGGACCTGGTCTGGTGAGGACCCACCCCTCCCGGCCTCCCTGGCTGCTTTCCTCTTGACTCCCCAGCCTCCTCCCTTCTCCAATCTCCATGAGTTGATGGGCCAACTTGGAAGAAAAGCCACTCCTATTCCTGTTTTTCCACTTCAAGCCTGGTATGTTGTGCCCCTGTCAGTTTCCCTGTGATGTAAAAGACATCTGCCAAAGCACTGCCAGATTTTGATTTTCAAACCTAATCTATGACGCTGTTTTAGTGCCACTCTGAACTTACTGCATTTTAGCCAAATAACAAATGCACACCCCAGAGCTCAGAGCCAAATGCTCCGGACAAGGGAGAGGCTCCAGGGTGCCTGGTGGCCTGGGTCTCTGCACTGTGAGTTTTGCTTTGGTGGGTAGGATGGGGCCAGGGTTTGGGGGAAGATAGGCTTTCTCCGGGGAGGGTCTGCACCTGCGGGAGATGAGCGCAGGGAAAGAGGGGTTGTAAGGCCAACCTTGAAGAGGCCCTGTTGGTAGGTGGAGCAGGTAGTATCCTCTGTGAATTCCTCTGGGAACACGGCAGGGAGTTTGCTGGGGATCCCAGGTCCAAGTGATCAAGCCCTTGACATGTGTATCAACATTTCCACGAAGGTCTTTACCACAGACTAGTCCCTAGCCAGCTGTCCACCACAGCCTGTGGCAGGGCTCCTAAGAATGCAGACGTTTCCACCAATGACTGCAGAGGTCCTGCCTCACTTCTCACTGCCAGTTTCATCTCTGACAAGGCACTTCCCAGAGAGTCAAAGGGTTTTCGCGGGGTCACTCCCAGGGCCCTCACTCATCCCAGCCGTAGGACAAGGCTTCTTGCATGAAGGTGTGAGGGTCACCGG